ATGCGGGAGGCGAAGCTGAGACTCGATGCCTTCAGCTTCAGCGCTGGGATCAGCGCGTGCGAGAAAAGCCATCAGTGGCAGCGGGCCCTGGCCCTGTTGGGAGAGATGCGTGCTGCGAGGCTGGAGCCCGATGTCATCAGCCCTGCAGTGCCGGGCCCAGAGCGCCCGAGAAGCGTCGGCAGGCGGCAGCCTCGGGGCGGCCGCGAGGTCGGCGGAGGAGCCTCCCCCGCCGAAGGCCCCAGCCGCTCCGCGGCCCGAGGGCCCACTCGGCGGCCCACGGGGGCACCCGGGCGGCCCGCAGGAGGACCCCGGGGAGCCAGCGCGCGGTCCCTGACGAAGTTGGGTCCGAGAGGGCCCCCCCCAAAACCGCTCATAAGCGTGCTCTGGGCATCGCTCGGACGTGCGTGTTTTTCCTTCGGCGAGGACCATCGAGGAGCATCCTTGATGATTTGGCGAAAGCAGCACGCACGACACCGAAAAAAACACAGGGAATGGACGTCCGAGCGATGGCCAGTGCTTGCCCTGAAGCGTTTGGTGCTCCCGCGGGGGGTCTCCTCGTCGGCCTCCGAGGCGGCCCAGCAGGACCCCCAGGGTCCCCGAGGATGGCCCGAGCGAGAGGCGCCGGGATGGCCCCAGGACCCCCCCCCGAAGCAGGTACGTAGGAGGGCCTTCGAGGGCCCCGAGGTGCTCTCCTCGAGAGAGCCTTGGACGGCCCCCAGGAGACGCCCCAGGCAGCACAATGAGCATTCAGAAGATCCCGAGCCGTTCCAGCACGTGCCCCAGCAATCCCCAGAGACCACCCAAGAGGCTCCAAGACGGCCGGGGAGAGGGTCCCCCAGAGGTCCGCAAGGAGGGTCCTAAGATCTCTGATCGCTCTTCCTCGTCTTCGCCTCCACCTCCTCCTCCACTTCATCTGTCCTCCCTCCCTCCCTCCTCCATCCTCTCCTTCATCCCTCCCTCCCTCCGCTCAGGTCAGGTACACAACGTGAGCCCCGAAGGAAGGTCTCACGAGATCGCGATCGTGTCACATCGTGCTATCATCCTGCTCCTCCTGCTGCTGCTCCTCCGCCTCCTCTCCTCCACCTCCTCTTTCATCCATCATTCCTCCTCTTTGTACGATCTCCTCCCCATCCATTTGCAATATCTCATGTCACTGTGTCTCTGTCGCGATCTGGGGCCGTCCTTCTTCCCGCCCCCCGTTTTCCCTTTTCGTGTGCTCAAACCTCTGCCCGCTGCCCGCTCCAGCCCGCCGAAAGATCCGCCCGGAAACCAGACGCTCAGGGATGGTCCTACGACGTCATTGCAGATCTGCCGTATGCAGTCTTATTGTGGGGTGAGGGTACAGATGCACCCAAAGTCGCGCTTTCGCCTCAAGAAGTGGTGTTTTTAATTCTTCTACTCCATGTCAGGGACAGGCTAGCAGAGAAGCCAGGGTAACGAGAAGTGGATTGATGAGTGCGACTCTGAAGCCTTTGGAAGCCTGACAGAACAGACGCTGTCATCATGTTCCGCCCCACCCTCGCGATCCGTCTGCACCTCCCCCTACGGGCAACGATCCTCAACAACATATCATATTGCTTGCATGGAATGCATCCACCAGGCCACCGAGGTCACTCACAGCGCCGGGATCAGCGCGTGTGGGAAAGCTGGGCAGTGGCAGCTCGCGCTTTCGCTTCTCAGCGATCTGTCGGAGGGAAGGTTGAAGCCAGACATCATGTAACATCTGCATTGCCGCGAGTCGCGCGTGTGAGAGGGGGAGTCGGAGGCTTCCTGGACCGCTTCGACCAGGCCCCATGGGGGCAGTTCGGAATGGGGGGCAATACATCTGGGGGGGATCGATGGTTGCAGGAAAGGAGCCGTAAAGGGGCCCTAGGCCTAGGGCGCCCCCCGGCCTCGGCAGGTCTACGAAAGGTGCAGCTTCCTTCAATACCCGTCCATTGCTCCCCATTGAGCAGCGCTCGACCCAGACGGGCTTCAGAGGCAGGGGGGGCTCCGCCCGAAAACCACCCGATAGGCCCGACTGCGCGCATGACGGGCGCCAAGACAGGCCGCATTGGGCCCCAAGACCGGCCCCATGAGGGCAAGCACATTTGAAGACATGTTCAGATGTTGCATTGTGCTGTCTGGATGAGGTAATTATAAGATCGAGGTCGGTTCGGGGAGGATACTCTAATGCTCTTCGTGCCTGCTGGATGTTCTTGTGCATGCTGGGGGGGGCAGAGGGTATCATGTTCTTGAAGGATGTTTTTCTGTCCAAGGTCCGGCAGTACTAGGTTATCCTATTCATGCTTGCTGCGCCCCCTTTTCCCATCTTCGTCTTATCACGTAGTGCCTGTGCCGTTTTATTCACGGCCCTTCGTGAGCAGCAAGTACGTGTGACAGCGAGTTTCGGTAACGGCGTTGCCCACTGTCCCACTCCGTCTTCGCCCTCCTTTCCCCTGTCCAGTCCAGGTTCACGGCTGTTCAGCTGTACGATAACGGGAACAAGTTCTGGGGGTTCAGGTTGTTTGTTCCATCGAGTTTTGTTTTGGAGAGAATAGCAGCAAGGAGCAGCAAGCAGCACCTTGCTTGCTGCTTCAATATGCAGCAGCCATGAGCGAGCAGTTGATCAAGCAACGGAGAGAGCAAGACAGGAAAGAAGCTAGGTGAGCAAGCCAGCGTGCAACAAGGCAAGCACGCACGTACGCCGCCGTGGACGTCGGGCTACAGGTAAGCCATAGTCACTTACAGTGCTGGAATCAGTGCGTGCGAGAAATGTGCACAGTGGGAGCAGGCGCTGTTGTTGCTAAGCGACTTGCAGGAGGCGAATTTGGAGCCAGACGTCGTTAGCATCGGCGCGGGGATCAGCGCGTTCGAGAAAGCCGGGCAGTGGCAGTATGCTTTGTCGCTTGTCAGCAGGATATGGGATTCGAATTTGGAGCCCAATGTCGTATGCTACAATTCTGCCATCCTGGTGTGCGAAAGAGGCGGCCTGTGGCAACATGCTCTGGCACTGCTCAGCGAGATGCGGGGCAAGGCGTCGCAGCCAGACTTCACCAGCTACGGCGCTGCGATGAGTGCCTGCGAGGCAGCTGGGCATTGGCGGCTGGCTGCGTCTTTGCTCGTATTTTCGGGCCTTCACGGAGGTGGACACCCCGACTTTGAAGCTTAACGTGGGTGGTAACCAGCTGCAGCCATGGACCATGGAGCCAGCGCGTGCTCGAGAATGTTGCGCTGGTGGAGGGCTCTTGTCTCTGCTGGGCGAACTGCGGGAGACCGCTGCGGACAATCATCAGCAGCTGCGGCGCTGGAATCAGAGCGCAGGGGCAGGCGGAGCAGTGGCAGCGAGCGCTGCTTCTGCTGCGCGAGGCGGAGTTCGACTCCGACGCTGCGGCTGCAGTGCCGGTGTCAACGATTGCGAGGACTACGGGGGTCGATTGTGGAGCGATTTGTTTCCGCGAGCTGCGCGAGAGGTAGGAGACCCGAGCAGCATCAGCTACCACATGGAACCGGCAAAGTAGGCACTACCACTGTTCGGCATGTTGTAGACTCGGAGTCAGTGCCATGCATCTTCGGCAACATGGCGGGAGTCATTGTCCGCGGCAAAGCTTGGAAGTAGCAGCATGGTCTGTCACTGCTCGTGGAATCGTGGGAGGCAAAATACGCATAGAGCTACCACAAGCAGTTCCCTTTACTTCGGAGCCCCGCGGGAGGCAACTGGAGGCCCTGTTGGATGCTTCGCATGTCGTAAGCAGAACGTCACGACGATGCCTTGTTTGTTGTCGCATGCTAGGGGCCACCTGGATCGTTCCTGGGGCGCCCCTTTGGGTCTGTCTTGGAACTTTCGTCATCGTCGGGTCGTCTTGTGGGGGCCTCGGCGCCGTCAAAGGAGGTGTTCGGGCCATGTCCTGCAGGCGGCTGCGGGCTGGTCGGGTTTTCGGCCGCCGTGGGGCTGGCAGACGAGACGGCTTAGAGATCCAGGGGGCCGCCCAGAGGGCGTGATACCGTCAGGCCTGCATTCCTGGCGCTCCGCTTTGGGCTTCACCTCTCCGGACGGCCATAAGCCCAAAGACTCGGGGCCACAAGTGGACGAATGCTGGCCTCGACGTAGTGGGTTGGGCTATCTGTTTGGTGCTCGGTCGGGGGCGCGGCGAAGGGAAAAGCAGTGGCCCGACTCGCGCCAGCCGCGGCAGGGCGAGGTGGCGGAGAGCAGCGCAGCGGGTGCGCGCGAGCTGAGCGATGCAGTGCCCCGCACCCAGAGCGGCCACCAAACCATCTAATCGGTGCCGAGCCCCTGCTCGCCCAGAGCTCTCTGGCTTTCCCCCCGTTGGAGGGCCGCGAGTCTTCGCCTAGGCGGCAATCCGACCTTCGTGAAAACATGGTTCAAGATTTGGGGTTCCATGTCCAGGGGCCTGAAGCAATGGAAAGGTAGGGGCGTGCCAGCGGGTTCACGCAAGACGAATGAACATTTGATGGGCGCTCTATTATCTCTCCCGCGAGCTACAACATCACGAGGCGACACCGAAGCGAAGGAGCGTGATGTGCAAGCGTAAGACGTCACTCCGCTGGGCCTGCCCGGAGCTCAGGCAAGTGCCGACGTCTGCGCCGTTGCCCGAGGCCGGAGGTCACACACATGCAACACCTCGAAGTCCGGATCCTCGATCTGCCTCCGTGTACCCTCCTCATGCCCTTCTGCCCCTCTCCTTGCCCCCTCCCCTCGGCGGCCCCATGCGGGCCCCCGCCTCCCTCATCGCCGTTTTGCCACACTCGGCTTCGACAGCACAGGAGTGCTTGCTCGCGCCCTCGCTCGGCGCGGGCCCCTTCTCTCGCTGCCTGGGATGCCGCGGTCCCTGCGCTCCGCTCGCACCCGTTTCGGGGCACTGCTCTCCGTTCGCTGCCGGGCGAGAGGGTCCATCATGCGCAGGCGCCCGCCTCTTCGGGGCGGCACGGTCCCACTGAGCGGTCCCCTCGTACGGTCCAGGGGGCCGCCGCGCCCGCCCATCCCCTGCGCGGGCAAAGCAGCGCAGTGCCTCAGCCCTTCACTCTGACATTGATCGGTGTACATTTCATTCGGGCACTGGCCTACGAGGGGTATTCCAGCTGCGCAAGAGTGTCCACGCGTTCGGTGGCGCTGGGGCACACTATGGTGAATTGGTCATCGAATCGTATAGGCCATAAGTGTTCGGAAACTGAGCGCATGACATCGCCGGCACGGGGGAAGTTCAGATGATCAGGGGAAGTGTGATGATGATGATGATGATGATGATGATGATGATGATGAGGAGGAGGAGGAGGAGGAGGAGGAGGAGGGACGAGGAGGGACGAGTGGGACACGAGGGAGGGCGAATGAGGACGAAGAAGAGATGGAGCACGGAGGAGCGAGGAACAAAGAAAGAGGAGGGAGGGCGGGAGGAGGTGAGGAGGGACGAACCGAGGAGGACGAGAAGGAGGAGGGGGAGGAAGCAGGAGGAGGAGGAGGAGGAGGAGGAGGAGGAAGGCAACGAAGGAGGAGGGCGGAGGGGGACACGAGGACGAGGAAGGTCAGAATGACGAGGAAGAGGCGAAGGATCAGAATCTGAATTGTCGCTTCGCATTTCACTTGCAGGAGTGTGCATCGTGCTCCACCGTGCCCCCCAGGGAGGGCGGGGCGGGCGGAATGACTGTTGGCCCTCTGCGGGTCTCGCCGCCGCAGCCTGGCGCGGCCAGAAGTACACATTGTTCTTTGCTAATTATGCGAATTGTCTTTGATCCGTAAGGGCTTCGCCCCCTGCCGCCGGCCCCCTCTCTCGGAGAATGGGCCATAGAAGAGCTAAGTCATGAGGCCTTGGCGCTGTCGTGAAGCAGTATCGAAACTTCATGCGAAGCCGATTCGCAATCAGCAAAACCAACTGATCACAAGAGGGGTTACCACACCTGGCGATTGGTAAGACGTGTATGGTTTACGGGCTTGGTTACCACACCTTGCGATTAAAGGGCCGAGGGAGTTCTCGCAGTTTGGGTTACCACGCCTTGCGATGGATGTGCGTGAAGGGTGGCACCGAATTTCAGAAATGTGGCAAATCCCCTGTGTTTTTGGACCCTGACCCCTCGGATCTGCGTAAGGGGTGGCGCCGAATTTCAGAAATGTAGCAAATCCACCTGTTTTTGGACCCTGACCCCGCGGATCTGCGTGAGGGGTGGCACCGAATTTCAGAAATTGCAATCCTTGTGTTTTGGACCCTGACCCCGCGGATCTGCGTGAGGGGTGGCACCGAATTTCAGAAATGTGGCAAATCCCTGTGTTTTTGGACCCTGACCCCGCGGATCTGCGTGAGGGGTGGCACCGAATTTCAGAAATGTGGCAAATCCCCTGTGTTTTTGGACCCTGACCCCGCGGATCTGCGTGAGGGGTGGCACCGAATTTCAGAAATGTGGCAAATCCCCTGTGTTTTTGGACCCTGACCCCGCGGATCTGCGTGAGGGGTGGCACCGAATTTCAGAAATGTGGC